TGAAACTAAGAATAAGAAAGGGGGGTTATTTAGTCCAACCAGAAGCACTCAGTGTCATTTGTGAAAAAGTAATTGAAAATATGTAGCCCAACAGATACTGGTTAAATTGAACTGAACTTAGAGATAATGAGCAGCTGAAATGTTAAGTGTTCATTATGCAGGAAAGTAGGAATAGGCTAGCAATAATGGACCAATGGATATCAGAAGCTGTACTGTGATCAAGAGTCCTGTGATAGCAATGTTCACTAGTCACTAAATATTGTTGATTTGGGAGTTTTGAGGAACTCCAACATTTAACTGTGGAAAAGGAATAGGAGAGGAGAGGGAGCATCAGAGAGGTATGAAGATACCCAGATATTGAGAAAGCCAAAAGACAACAATATTGACAGTTGACATGAGTATCAGAATCTACTGTAGCTGAATCAAGTGAAGGTATAAAGGGGTATATGGACTTTCTTCCCTGCTGGTTACCGGTAACCTTGGCACTGGTTATGTGCAGTGGTAGCAGAGGAACTAGTTAGACCCAAGTAGGTTGAAGAATGAATAGGAGCAAAAAAAAAAAAAGGGGGGGGGGATAGTGAGTATAAACAACTACTCAAAGAATCCAAAATATAAAAAAAAAAAACATAAAAATATCAGGAAAGGAAATATTGAAAAAGAAGTGAGCATGTGACATAAAAGTTGCTAGTGTGCCAAAAATAAATTCGATTCAAGATGACAGAGATTAAGAGAGCACACACAATGTGGGCTTTGACACAGTCTTGCAAACCTTTAAAATGAAAATGTTTTGAATTCCTGAAGTCCAAGTGTTATATTGTCAAAGGACAAAAGACATTATGCCTTTTTCAAAGGTTTTTTAGAGGATTATCCAAATACTCGGCCACATGGAATTCTTACCTGGAAAAAGATAAATTATGGGTTGCAAATAATCAGATAATTCTCTCAAGTCTAGGGGACAGAAAAAGTCCAATATGCTTACGTTTTTAGGAGAGTAAAAACCAAGCCACATTCTCATGTTATGGTTCCTTTCTTAAAAAGAGGAAAAGAGTGAAATTCTATTTTCAAAAGTCCTGAGAAACTTTTAGACCTAAGAAAAGACTGAGCTGGGGTTGGTGAGGAAAGTGGATATTGTGTGAAACTGGATAATTAAGTTTTGCTACTAAAGGTCAAGCATTATAAAAGACAGAGGGAAATAATGCAATGAAGACAGGGATTCATGTGGTTACTGTTCTTATATGTCTGTGCTTAGAACACGTGAAATACATTCCATGTGTTTCATGTATCAAATGTACTCGAGAACATGCAGACCTTTGCACTGGCCAATATTTCAATGTTAAAAAGGGCAGAGTAAAGAAAAATCATTCTTACCAGAAGAATAAACTTTTGTCTTTGAAACTTGAAGCAACAAATACAAATAAAACGTGAAAAACATGGTTTGAAGTGTGCTAACAGATCAAGATTGCACGTAGCAAGCCACCTTTTCTCTGTTTAGGAACAATCTCACAGATTCCAAAACACAATATGTTAATTAAAGGATTTCAGGTAGCAATCATGGAATATTTTTCGTGACAGATGAAGAACACAGATACTCTGAAGATTAAAATTGCATAAACACAACAAAGAGACATTGTGTCCCTCTTGCAGCAGCACAAAGTTAGAATGAATGCAAATGAATGTGCTGGCAGTAAAATTACACTATTAACCATCTGAAGATTGGGCTCATTACCTAAGAAGGCAAAGCATCAATTTGTAGCATTATAACATTCTGTTTGGGCTGCTGAACACGTGTGTGGATGTTTTTACATATTCTCTACTCATTTGGGTGCATGGTAAGCACTTTCGCATCAGCCTCTTGATAAAAGCTTAATTTTGTATTGTTTCAGTTACATTGTTTTCTCTAATAGGAATGATATTCTGTCTTAAACACTCCATTTTTCTCCAAATAATTCTGAGTTCAGGTTCTTCTGTTTCTCATTAACAAATGGCATGTACACAATTACAAATATATCTTAAAATTGAGGCACACTGATTTTAAAAAATGTATATTTGAACAACCTGAGAAAAATATTCATTCATTCAGTCAGTCATTCTTTCATTCTGCTAATGCACATGTATTGGGCTAAGAATGCTGAGAAATTCAAGGATGGATGTGATACTGTGTCTGCCTTCAGGGCGTTTCTAATGTCAGAAGTGGTAGAGTGTTATTAGCACCTTCAGACCAGGCATAGAGCTATTGAATCTCGAGGAAAGAGACAGTAGTGTATCCCTGCCTTATACATTTTTTTTGACCACTAGCTGTGATTGGCATTGTTCTAGGAGCTGGGTATATAGAAGGGAAGAAGATAGTCAAGGTCCCTAAGCTCATGGGCCCTGAATCTTGGGAGAGAGATGAAAAATAAGGGAAAAACAAACAAATAAATAATATAACTTTGGGTAGCCATAAGTGCCATGGAGAAACTAACACAGGGCAATGGGAAGGACAGTGATAGTATATGTGGAGAGTGACTCTGAGGTCATGAAAACCTCGGTAAGGAGATCGCAGCAGAGTAGAGGAGCAAGTGTGAAAATCTGAATAAAAGGCTTCCCAGACACAGACCAGTATGGAAATGACTTGAGGGGAAAATCAGCTTGATATTCTGGAACAAGAAGAAACCACATAACTAGAGTTTAGGAAAATGGGAGAGTGAGAGATGAGGTCATAGAGGTTGGAAGGCACCAGATCCTACTGACTTCTGTAGGCTATGATAAAGATTTTATTCTAAGTGAGAAGGGAATCCATTGGATATTTTAAACAGGGTGCGGCATAATCTGATTTACATTTGAGAAGGATCCTTCTGGATACTATGTGGAAATTCAAATGTAGAGTGAAAAGAAAGGTAACTAGGACAGAGATTAGGTATCTATGAATTAATTATCTAAGCTAGAGAGAACCAATGAGAAATTGACTCCAATAGTCTAACCTAGACATGATAGATTAGAACCCATCATGGTAGTCCAGTTAGAGGTGGTTGGTTTGGACTATGGTGATAAAGACCAATGTGAGAGGAGTGGTTCCCTTTTAGGGGAAGCTTCACAAAGGAAGTGATATGGAACTTTAAATGAGGGGTAACATTGTGACAAGGGGGTAGTCACTTAGTTGACTGAGTGCCTACAATGGGCTGCACACTGGACGGGGTGTAGTGCAGAAGTCCTTGTAGAGAATGAGGAGTAAATTTGCTGAGGAAGTAATATTTTAAGATATAAAAGTAGTGAGGTAAACAATACGGTTGTAAGAATTACTTCTTGAATTAGTTCTAAGGTCGCTTTATAATTTTCCTTTTAATGTAGAATATTGTGTGTTCAAACTCCCCTTGTATTCTTAACTCTCCTTGAACTTACAAAAGTGTTAAGTTTCTAACAGTAGAAACTTAGTTCACTGTCAGTTGTCAAATATCATCTGATCACTTCCTTAGAAACAGTGGTTAATATTTATCTTTCTCATTCTGAGAAAAAATTATAGCCTCATTAGGAAGGAAAAGAGCAGAGGAGAATACAAAACATATGATAAGTTCCTATATCTAGGTGTAAGTATTACTGTTCATCTGCTCTCAGTTTTGCCCCCTGAATCTTTTCCCAGATGGTTGACCCTAATTCAACTTTCCCTCCTTCTAATTCCTGTTGTGTACTGTCTCCAAAATTGACTGGCCTAAAGTAGTCCGGTCATGTCTGTTCCCCAGTGCCTAAAAACAAATTTCAAATTCCTTAGCCTGACACAAACTGACCCAACCTACTTTTTTGGCTTTATCTCTGACTATACTCTCTACTCTCTAATTGTTTTAATCACATTGGATTTTTTAAATTTTTTTTTAATTATTAAACTGTGATGAAATAATAAAACATAAAATTTACCACCTTAACCATTTTTAAGTGTATGATTTAGTGGCAATGATTGAGGACATTCACATTACTGTGCAAATTCCACTACATTTTATTTTATTTTATTTTATTTTATTTTATTTTATTTTATTTTTTTAAATGCTTTATTTATTTCTAGGAGAGACAGAGAGACAGCGTGAGCAGGGGAGGGTCAGAGAGAGAGGGAGTCACAGACTGAAACAGGCTCCAGGCTCTGAGCTGGCAGTCAGCACAGAGCCCGACGCGGGGCTCGAACCCACGAACCGCGAGATCATGACCTAAGCGAAAGTCGGACGCTTAACCGACTAAGCCACCCAGGCGCCCCTCCACTGCATTTTAAATCACACAGTATCACTACCCTCTAATACTCCTGGCAATTTATATTTATATTTATATGATTTCTGTTGACCCCTGAAACGCTTTCCCTTTCCTTATCAGTTAAAGTCCTACATATCTTGAAGGCCAGTGCTAGGATCCTACCTCTTGCTTTAGGCTCCTATGAAAGCTTATCTGGAAACTGAAGGTCAATTCTGTTGCTAGGTAACATAGTGCTGACAGTTAAAATGCCACCTTGGTTGGCAAATTGCATCTAGACTGGGAGGATTTATCCATGAACTATAAATACCTGATAGAGATGTGATACTTGGTCTTCCTTGAGTGATGACTCTTATAATTAAGCAGATTCCTTGCCCGTGGAGGCTAAGTTCATGGAATTGTACAAGAGATACTGTCTCTTATGAGACATGACACTTAATCCAGGACCATTCTCACACTCATCCAATATTGATCTTGTCTTCTTGTACCTGAGCTGTCACTTGAGGGGCCTGGACTGATGTTTGTACCAATATAAGGACTCCCACTGAAGAGAAACTCTTAAGGTGCCTTGCTGGTCAGTGGTGTTTCCTCTGTGACATCCTTCTGGTAAACCTAAAGCCAAGCATGGCCCATACTAGTCTTGTGAGTCTGAATGTTTGCCTGGACCCAAGAAGAACTGCTTTTGGGAGTTGCATCAATATGCAGAAATGTTGTCCTAAATACTAATAATCCTTGCACATCTGGACTGAAAACTATTGTATGGAGGGCCAGGGTAAGAAAGCATTGCTTACCTTTGGAAGGAGCTGGATTGCCTGTAGAATTCTTTGTCTGTGCCCAGAATTAAGAATTCCAATTTCCAACAAATCCTGATCTTCCATAACATTGCTTCCCTGAAACAAATCCAGAAATGTTACAAGTTAATTTAGCCATTTTTACTATTGGTAAATAATGATTTATTTAATGCAGAGAAAAATAGCCAACACGTGATCTCATTTCTACAAACAAAAACAGAATCATTCTTCTGTGAGGGTAAGGGTAAGTAAGAGGTCATCTATCTGACTGAGTTGAAGGTTCTGGGGAAACTTCCTTCCCCTCAGAAATGCTCTCGTGGTTTACTAATTATGGGTGGGTTATCTGCATTGGGGATTCATTCCTGTGACTTAAAACTCTCTTCCAGGAAAAATGTAAATGCTTCTAGGAACAACTGCTGTTTAGGATCATCAGTGATCTACCTATATGTTGATAAGAATGAATCAGTTTTGTCTTCCCCTAAAAATAGATTTTGAGGGGTGCCTGGGTGACTCAGTTGGTTAAATGTCCAACTTGGCCCAGGTCATGACCTTGTAGTTCTTGAGTTTGAGCCCCACATTGGGTTTGTCTGCTGTTGGCACAGAGCTGACTTCAGATCCTCTGCCCCCGTCTCTTTGTCCCCCCCCCCATTTATGCACGTGCTCTCTCTTTCTCTCTCAAAAAATATATAAATATTAGAAATAATTCTTTTAAAATAGATTTTGAGAAGAGAACTGATTAAAAAATTATAGTATACTAGTCAGCTTAAAAGTGGGAATTAATAATTAATTTTAAAACACTGAATGCCAGACATCTGATCAAGATATAGGGATACAACAATGAATAATTTGCAGGCTCCTGTCTTTATTCTTTCCAGTCCAGGCATGGAAATGAATTTTCAAAGGCAGTTAGGATGCTGTGAATATGCTATGGTCATGGCACATGCTTGGGGGCCCTGAGGGGGTCTGGGATGTGTTTTAAGAGTAGATGATGTCTGAAGCATGGTTCGGACTTAGCACTGAAAAGAAGAAGGACAAAAGTGGAATTATGTGCAATGTCCTGTGGGTGAGAAAGAACATGGTGCATTTGGAAGCACTGGCTTCTTGGCTGAGTTGGAGAGAGGAACAAAAGGTAAGCCTGGCAAGGTAAGCCAAAGCAGACACTACAGACGTTGTATGCCAGGCTGAGAATTCAGACTTCATCCTGACCATAACAGGAAACCATGGACAGATTTTAAGAACAGGAGTTACATGATGATATTTCAAATTTGGAAAGATCAATTTTAGATTCTGTGGCTGGGCCTCTGTTTCCTTACCTATAAATTGACAAAGTTGAGCCACATGGTCTCCAAGCACCAATCTAATCCTGAAATTCTCTGATTTCAATGATATTTTAGGCCTTAGATTAATATTCTAATACAAAAATTTATAAATTGCTTATTTTGTCCCTAAATTTTAGTCTTTTGTAGTTAGAGCTTTTGTAGTCTTTTGTAGCTAGAGCTTTCCTTTAAATTGAGGGGTTTATAGAGAAGCTCAGAATTTGGATCATTCCTTTTCTGAACAAATCAAACATTCTTATTAATGTGTTAACACAAAAACATTTATGAGTAGAAGTTACAGAACACATATTTATGGAGAGTGATGGTGCTGATAGTTATTTAAAGCAAAAGAGAATGAATTGCAAAGGGCAATCCTTGGAGCACGGAGACTATTAGAAGGCTACTGAAGTTGTTCTAGAGACGAGGAGGGTTTAGACCAAGGCAGTGATCATGGGAGAGAGAAAGAAATGGGTGGGTTTGAAAACTATCAAGAAGTTTGATTCAGTGACTGAATATATGGAATGATGGAGAAATGCAGAATACACAACAGTTCAAGTCTTGGGCAATGGGGATGGATCATGATGCCTTTTCCTGAGATAATAAGGGGGATGGGCCAGTCTTGTGTGGTACAAAGTGAAACTAATATCTTTCTCTATTCAGGGACAGGACAGATGGATGTAAACTATTTAATATCAGACTACATTATAATGGATAATTAACTGTTATTAGATTAAAGCCATAAGAATGGTACCATAGCTAGAGATTTAAAATGGGCATTCACTGGACACAAACATTCCACCTACTCATGGTATCATTCCTCTGCTTAAGCTACCCTGGCCTTCTCTGAGGGGGCAGAATGAGCCAGGTATACAGCAGCATGATAATGAAAAGCCTAATGAAAAACAAATAAAGCCAGTCTTGGCAAAATGCCAGAGGAAACATTGTTCTCTCAAGAAATTACTCTGTGCACACAATAGAGCATGGTTAAGAATATAAATGGCTTCATTTTGAGAAAGCATTTTTATTTTCAGAAATAGACTAGCATGTCATGAGTAGGATATATGATACCATTCTGTATTTGACTTTTAGTCTTTACTAAAGGGTTTTCCAAAAGGAGTTAAAAGGATCTTAAAAAACAAAAATAGAAGAAAAAACAAGAAAGAAAAAACTTTGTCCATCTATGTGTTAGACCACTACCAGGTTTTTCATGGGCTAAATTACTAGGCTGAAACTTCATCTCATACAAAATGTACTGGTTTCTTTGTACATACACAAGACATACCAGAATTCTGATACATCTTGTGTTTGTCTTCTGTGTCTTCTGTTTCAGTAAAGATAGATACCTAGTATCTATAGGTAACCCTGAGAATTTGATTTGTGTGATAGTGTTTGAATACTGAAATAATTTGAAGAATTAAATCCTTAAAACCATGGTTGTTCTTCTAAAGTACTGATATACTGTCTTCTCTATCTTCAGTAAGAAGAATCTTTTTGAAAAATTGTACGGAAGTTAGACATCTTGTCTTTGGGGCAAATTTCCTAGCATATGGAATAATTACCAAACACTTTTGAAAAATGAGTGAAAATTTGGGAAGCACAGTGAAAATGGTGAGAATGTGCCCAAGGGGAAAATGGTACTAATTTTGGAAAAATAAAGAAAAGGATTCACTGTCCCCAATGAGGCATGCTGTTAGAAATTTTCTATTTTCTCTCTTAATGTAATATATAGAGATACCAGAAATATCCTGGTGCATCATCTAGCCAGTCTTTTTTTTTTTTTTTTTTTTTTTGAAACACCACTAGGCTTGGAGTCTAAAGATCTGAGTCCAGATCTTGTTTGGGTAAATTTGGTTAAGTTATGTATTATTTCTAGGCCTCATGGTCCTCACCCATAAAATGTAGTTCAATGAATACTCATTCAGTTCTAAAGTGGTATGGTTTCAGTCATGTCCAACTTTCGATTAGTGAGTGTCCTTGTATATAAATATAGATTGTATAATTTAAAGTTACATTTACATTTACATTGCAATTACATTTTAGTGTTTCAGAACTTGCAACCTAAAGATAGATTTAAGTACAGTTGACTCTCAAGCATGAGTTTGAACTGCAAGGGTCCACTTACACCTTGATTTTTAAAACAAATACAGTACAGTACTGCAGATCTACTTGCTCTTCCTTATGACTTTCTTAATAACATTTTCTTTTCTCTGGTTTACTTTGTTATAAGAATACAGTATATGATACACATAATATACAAAATATATGTAAATTGACTGTTAATGTTATTAGTAAGGATTTCTGTCAACAGTAGGTGTTAGTAGTTAAATTTGGGGGGAATCAAAAGTTATATGCAGATTTTCAGCTGCACAGCACAGGGGGCTTGGTGTGGTTAGCACCCTGAACCCCTGCATTGTTCAAGGGTCAACAGTAATTATAGAGAAGTGCAAGAATGCCCTTTTTTTCTTGACAAATTAATCTCAGGACTAGGTAGGAACTTACAACAGTTTTTATTAAAAGAAATGATAGAATACTTTAGTTTTGTAATATCATGGATTCTTACAGTTTTATGCAGAAAAATCAAATATTTCATATCTTGCAAGTAACCATTTCATTTGCACTTGGGTAACAGATGTGCCATCAAGGACAATAAACATTTCCATTCTTCCTGGGGAGCTGGAATTTATTCTCATGTTACCACCTGTCTTTACTAAATGTTAGAAATATCCTAGCTTTTTTTCTTCTCAATAATAGCTGAACATAAACTCTAGCTTTCTCCCTCCTCTATTCATTTTTCACATGGCTGCTAGATCAATGGTTTTTGGAGTAGAGCTTCATTATATGTGTCTTCTGCTTAGTCATCTACTAGAGTGCACTCTACCTCCTCATGCCCAGTATGCATGCTGTGTATACTTCATCTCCCATTTACTACTCAACCCAGCACAATAAGCTTTTACCCCCCACTAACTCCATAGAATTTCTCTGCTAAATGTTAAGAAAGACTTCTCAACTGCCATATCTAGTTGATTCTTTTCAAACCTTATTTCAAAAAAATGCATTGGCCACACATAGCTGGTGGCTACGCTACTGGACAAAAGAAATAGAGAATTTTTCTGTTATCTTAGAAAATTCTACTAGACAGTACTTCTCCACAATTAGAGATATTTAAACTATGGTTGAATCAGATGGGGCAAAAATGGGGACTAAAAGGGAATCAGAACAGGGAGTCAGAAATAGTCATAAGTCATCCTTAAGATTTGCTTCTTAGTCAAATTGATGTGCTTCTTAGTCAAAGTTCATGAACATAAAATTTAGGATGTTTAGCAAATTTTCTTCTGATTACTAGCCATTCTATTTTCATTAGAGTTTCTTTTTATGGGGCTAGAAATCTATGCTATCAAAATGAGAAGTCCAATTGAAGAGTAATTTATTATTTTGTTTGCACGAAACAAGGCACATTGCACAAGGTGCTTAGGGAATAATAATCAGTAGATAAAGTTGCTTAGTTAATGACTTAATAGAAGGATCAAAGGCAGCTATTTTAGAATAGCTGTTCCTTTACTGACAAGAAATATCTAATCCAGGGGTCTTTATTGCTTTCTTAATCCATGGGGTGAGAAAAAATAATATATTTTATGCACTGAAAACAGAAATTTCTCTGACCCTGGGGAGAATATTTTACATACTTTTTTCAGTAGTGATAAACCAAGAAGATGACCAAGTAGAATAAAAAGAGTGTTTTGTACTTAATTCTCCATAAGAAACAGAACAGCTATTTATTGAAAT